TGGGGAGGGTGGGTGGGAAGGGATAAGGGGGAAAATGGGGCATTATGATTAGCACACATAATGTAGGGGGCGGGGACATGGGAAAGGCATTATATACAGAGAAGACAAGTAGGGATTCTATAGCATCTTACTATGCTGATGGACAGTGACTGTAATGGGGTATGTGGGGATGACTTGATAATGGGGGGAGTCTAGTAACCATAATGTTGTTCAGGAAATTGTACATTAATGATATATAAAAAAAAAGCCCAATTAAAAATTAGGCAAAGAATTTGGATAGACACTTCACTAAAGAGATATACAAATGGATAATAAGCATGTGAAAGATGTTCAAATATCATTTTCCATTAAGGAAATGCTAATTAAAACCATACTGACAGACCATTATACACTTGATAGAAAGCTAAAATTAAACACACAGACTATTAACAAGTGTTGAACAGGATGTGGAAAAACTGCAATCCTCATACACTGCTGGTGAAAATTTAAAGTGGTACAACCACTTCAGAGAACAGTTTCATAAAGAGTTAAACATAAACTTACTATACAACCCAGAAATTAAACCACTAGGTGTCTACCCAAGAAAAATGAAAACACCTCACCAACTCAGACTTGTACATGAATGTTCACAGCATTATTGGAAATAATCCAAATGTCCATCTACTGATGAATGGAAAAATAAAAATGTGGTATTATCCATACAACGGAATACTATTCAGCAATAAAAAGAAAACTCTATTCATACTAGCTACAACAGATGGAGCTCAAATATTATACCAAGTGAAAGAAGCTTCAATGCAAAAGATCGACTACTGTATGATTCTTTTTATAACAAATATCCAGAAAAGACAATTCCATAGATAGAAAACAGGATTAGTGGTTGACTGTTTGCAAAGTGGCAAAGGCGAACTTTATAGGGTGACTGGAATTTCCTAAAATTAGATCATGGTGATGTTGCAGAACTTCATAAATGTACAAAAATTACTGGATTGTATAGGCTTATAATAGGTGAATATTATGGTAATTACACAATGTTACTGTATAGTAATTATACCCTAATGCTGTTAAGTAATGAATGAATTTTATAAATTTAAGCAACTGTAAATTGTTGACCTGAGAGATTTGGTAAAGTCAGTATTTAGCATTAGAAGAAAGATTTTAACCTAGAAGAAACAATTTAAAACATTAGATGAAAAGCCTTACCACAGGCAATCTAACAAAACATACAGTTCCTTATTTTCACAAGATTACTCAAAAACAAAAATTCACAATTACCTTAATAAGAGCTTTTTTGGTGAGTTTCTGGTTAACTTCAGGCTTATTCAGTATGTTCTTTGCTCTATGAGCATATTCCAATGTACTTAGAGTTTCCTGTGATGAAAAGGCCAATTACTGAAGATATTATGAGAAAAATGTAGATGTTATATGGAAGTATATAACTTAAAAGTAATAATTTAAGGTTATACCTAAAAATCTACCCACTATGACTACCATATTCAACCTTTAAAGCAGAATTTGTTCAAAACATCATATTTTTCACCTTCTCTTCAGTTTTCAGGGTCTTTAACTTTATAATTTGACCTAATAATTTTCTACTTTAAACTAGACTTAAAACTCAAATGAATTCCATTAACTGATGAATAAACAAAATGTCCTATAGCTATGTAATGGATTATCCATTCACAAAAAGGAATGAATTATTAATGCACTGCTACAACAGGGATGAACACTGAAAACATGTTAAGCAAAGGAAGCCAGTCACAAAAGAACACTTATTGTATGATTCTACTTACATGAAATGTAAAATAGGCAAATCTGTAGTTTTAAAAAAAGTAGTTTAATAGTGATGTAGGGCAGGGAGTGGGGGCAGATATGGAGTGATTGCTAATGGGTTACAGAGTTGCTTTCTGGAGTGATGAAAATGTTCAAAACTTAGCTGCACTGCTCTGTGAATATAACAAAATCATCAAATTATATACTTTTAATGGGTGAATTTTATGGTATGTGAATTATGTCTCAATAAAGATATCTTAAAAAATGAAAGGGGAGTTAGACCTTGTAAAAGCTTTTCTAACTCCATTTAAAGCAGATGATCACAATAAAATAAGAGATTTTACCATCTTTGTTGCTTCTCTTGGTCTTGTACCTGTTTCTACACTACAACCCCATCACTGAAGCCTCTATAACACTAACATTCACTTAACTCACTTTTAAGTCCTCAGTTAAATCTCTAGACCCCATGTAACTAACTATCCAGTGCTAATAACCACAGCAATTTGCTTTGAAGACTGTGTGGGAAAAGCTGTTAACTTTTTTAAGTGGCTTCCTCCTATATGTATATCTATATGCAATGTCCAGATTCTTTTTATTATAGTACATAATGAATGAAGCCAATTAATGAACTTGTAAAATATGTGATAGCTAAGTAAGAATTACAGCTACTACACTTGCAGATACCTATCAGAGGGCTTACCTCAAGATTGAGAGATGCAGGAGAAATTGTTGCAATTATAGATGTTCTTGTACGTCCCCCAAGAGAATCCTGGAGGATTCTAGTTAGTTTAGATTCTCGATAAGGAACATGAGGTGTTCTTTCTACAAGAGCAGTAATAACCCTTCCCAAAGTCAATAGGGACTGATTAATATTTCCAGCTTCCCGAGCTCTCTTGTCAACTGCTCCAGAACGGCCAATGTTTTCACTGCCTGCAAGATCAACCTTGAATTTTAAGAAGAACTTGTCAGTCTATTGGATTTGGACTCAAAGACTTCCATTCTCATATTATACATAATATATTAAATAGCCAGAAAAAATTTTTCTATAACAACCCACTTCAAAGCTAGTAAGTGACTAGAAAAATGTTGTCTAGAGGTAGAAAATTTCAAGCTGCTCTATGAATTGGTCAAGAAGGAAACAGTAGAAGAGAATTACCATACTATCCAGCAATCCCGCTTCTTAGTATATACTCAATGAAAATGAAATCAGTCTCAAAGAGATAACTGTGCTCCCACGTTCACTGCTTTATATGCAATAGCCAAGATGCAGAAACAACCTAAATGTCCATCTGCGGATGAATAAAGGTGGTGTGGGGTATACATACAATGGGATATTACTGAGTCATGAGAAAGAAGGAAATCCTGCCATTTGCAACAACATGGATGAACCTAGAAGACATTATGCTAAATAAAATAAAACAGAGAAAGAAAAGTACTGTGTGATCCCACTTAAACATAGACTCTGGAGGCAGGGGGAGTCAAACTCAGAAACAGAGAGTAAAATGATGGTTACCAGGAGCAGGGGAAAGAGGGAGATAGGGAGATGCCAAAGTGAACAAGCCTTCAGTTTTAAGATGAGGAAGTTCTGGGTATGTGATATACATTGTGGTGACTATAGTTACTACTACACTGAAATTTGCTGAAGAGTATATCTTAAACTTTCTTACCAAAAAAAAAAAAAAAGTAACTGTGCAAGTAATGGATGTGTTAATTAACCTGACGGTGGTAAGCACTTCAGAGTATACATTTATCAAATCATGTTATAAATTTTAAATAACTTTGTCAATTATACCTCAATAAAGCTGGAAAAAAAAAACAAATGAAACAGCAGTAATAAGGTAGATGCTTACCAAGTTCAACTTTCCAATTTTAACAAGCTCTTCTCCATCAATTGTAGTTTCTTTCATATGTATTGTAACAGAGAAAACTGAGTGGGAACGACTGGAAAACAAAATCAAGTTGCCCAGTCATTATAACACAAAACATTACTTGCTTTCTATAAAATATTAAAAACAGCAAAGAAAGATCTAAATCCACAAGAGTAGAAAAGATAGTATCTGACAGGGGTATCAATAAGATTTTGAAAGACAAAGGGTGGATAGAAGAATGCTTAGGTTTTTGCTGCCTACAGAGACCCTCAATAAGAAGCTACCTGAATATACCCTAAAAGACTTAGGAACTAGAATCTTTAGATACCTCTCAAAGCTGGGTAAGGGGTGGGGTTGGGACAGTAGCCTTGTGTATCAGAGGAGAAGGCTTGCAATCAATCTTCCTATTTATAAGAATCACATGAAATATGTCATTACCATAAATTCAAACACCACCAAGCAAGCCACCAAATCACTCCCCTTCAAAGTCAGCTGTCGTAAATGTACGTTGCTCTACTTTAAGAATGTTGTCATAAATAGGTAAGTCCTTCCCCTGAACAGCAGAAATAGTAAGCTATAATTACCAAAATACCATAAGATAATTACTGCTGGACTGTAGTGTTCATCACATGTCACTGATGGTTGGTGGGAATATTGTAATTTTTAATTTCTAATTTGTACTTTCCATGTTACTTGGAAAGTATTACAAAGTATATTTGTTACAAGTTATTTATTTAAAATTTCAGAAAGGGGAAAGGGCACAAGGAAAAATATGAACTATGCATGTGAATTATAATATACATCTCATGTTTTTCTGCTATTGTTTATCCATTCCTAATGCAAGATTATGGGATTAATGTAATTACACAGACATCAACCATGATTTTGAAAAATTGAATTACATTTTCCTTCTCTATATCATACAATTCGTAAGAGATCTTTACTCCAGTCTATATACAGAAAGAGTCCTAAATTATACAAAGTTAAGGAATAATAGGAATTTTTAATTTTGGAGAGGTATTTAGAGGATAGAAATTTTACCTCATCTTAAATTCATTCTTCCAAATTCCACATAATACTAAATTAGAAACCATTAATCTATAACCTAATTTTCTAAGCTTAAAAACAAAAAATATGTATACATTTAAAGAAAGAATAAAAATAACAACATGAAGATAATTAAGATCATGGGATTATGGGTGATTTTTATAAGTTTAAATTTTCCTATAATAGCTCTATATTTCGATCTGGGCTCCCATGTACAATTTCATTTGAGAAAAAAATCTTAAAAAGTGTGTAATACATCTGTTCTAGTTCAACTTGTCTTTTGTTTTCCTTTCAACATTCTTCCAATATTGGTTTTCTCCCTATAAATCTCAAGCCATTACTAAAGTACACCATCAAGCATACAATCTAGGTATGTGATGCACATACCTTGACCTATCCCAGTTTGACTTTCCCTAAATTCATAATTCCTTTTAAAAAGTGGAGCAGTGGGGGAGACAGTGGCTTTCTCACCTAGAGTATGCATTCATCAAAGTCGCTGCAGTTGTCCTTTTTGCTGCTCCCTTCTCCAAAATTTGATAGACTTCATCCTTGTTGTGTACTGTAATTTCTTCTAAACCTTTGATTATCACTCCTCTCTGGCCAAAAAATCAAAAGAGCATCCTTCAGGTTGGTAAATAATATATATATTGACTTTTCAAAGCATCACATATTAAGATTTCAAGACATTTTATTCTCAAAGACTGAGTTACCTTGTTACGGGGATCATCAAACATCTGTAATCTCTCAGAAACATCAGAAGATGGATTAAGGAGATCAAAAAGTTCTTCATTATAGATTTCCAACAGAGACACTTTGACTGAAAATTCAGTACCATTATCAGTAAGCTTCTCAAAAATTTGATGAAGAGTACGTGGAATTATACCAGCCAAGGGGTCCTGAAATTTTAATGTTAATAAGGACTAAAATAAAGGTAGAGTGTCGTTTACTGTAGCAATTAAAATATATATAACAAAGGCTATATTTAAACATAAGTATGTCAAAACAAGTTTTAAAAAATTAAAGTTAGTGAAGCCAAGTCATTTACAAGTCAACAGTAATTATTCTTTATACTTTCCACAAATCTTTCCTGTCAGTCACTTCATGCCTGAGCAGTACACAGAACCAACTGAATCAAGCTAGTTATAAAGCTAAATTCAATAATCCTTTCCAACTTTTCTCCTAAGAACATAATACCATCATTTTAATCAGAAAGTTACTCTAACTATTCCATCCCAAACAGACCCCTTTCTTACTATTAAGCTGTGCTCTATGTATTGGTCCTCTCTCTCACAGTGAGACTTTGTTTCTTAAACAGAAGCCATACCATATACTTTAATCAAAGTAGTAGTTTATGCTATATTCGTGTATCAACATGAGCACTCTGATTGTCTCTATTTCAAGACGGAGGCCTTCAACCAAATTTTTATTCAGTTATTATTTAAGCCATTGTAGAGACAGAAGTGTTATAAACAATAAATACCTCTTCCCAAGTATACTCTTCATTAGGTGACCTTTCACCTTCCATTGTAAAGGTTTTTCCAGTGCCAGTTTGGCCGTATCTGTCAAGATTAACAAAAGTATTAATAAAAAACAAATATCTAAACCTTTTTATCAATTTGAAACAGTTTCACTCACGCAAAAATAGTGCAATTATATCCCATAATAACTTCATCCAGAATTGGACAAACAACACTTCGGTAAACATCAATTTGTTTAGTAGATGCTCCAAAAACCTGTGAAAAAAAAAAAAAAAGCATTTCTTCAAGGAAAAAAAAAAACTTAGATTTACTCACTTTAACAATTTTGTTTTTAATCTATTAACTCATTCAGCCCACTAGAAACCATTTGACAAGTCAAAGAATCAACTGAAATTTGTAATTGTACAGTAGAACCTAGAGGAAATATATATACTAGGATAACTTTACATTAGTGAATAATAAAGAAGTAGCAGCATTTTAAGAAGTAAGTACCATGTCAAAAGTGTATGTTTTCCTTGAGCTCTTGTCAGCCAGTCCTCCAGTTCGTACACTAACTTCTTTTCGTACATGATCACATTCTACTACAGAATGAGCACTAAATTTTCGCTCTGCCAAATTAAATGGCCTATAAAAAGAAATACACAGTTATTCAAGGAACTCTTAGTTATCAGTTACTGATGACATTATCATTAATACCTCGGACAAGAATGTGAGGCTTGACTACATTGCTGTGACAGGAATTAAATGGGGACTAAATGACACTGCTAAAGCAGACATCAGAATTTTAAAGGCCTCAATTCCCAGAAATAAAACGTTTTATTTTTAACTTTCAAAGATCTGCAAAACATTACAATTCTGAGTTTCTTAAGTAGATGCTAATATAATTAACTTGTATGTGAAACTTACTTTTCAGAATTCTGTTTTCACTATTAGACTCTGATCAAGTTAGGTTATGATGCAGTAGACAGAACATGCCAAATTAGTGTTTGAAACACTACCCTGACAATGGATAACTGGCACAAAATAAAAAATAGATATTTTAATATGTTGAGTACTTACAATGTGCCATGTACTCACTGTTCCATGTTACATATATTAGGTCAGTCTGTCCCCACAACACTGTAAGGTCAGGTTGGGAAACAGTGATAAAAAAAACCAAATGATTATAAAAGAAGGGATGTTTAGAAAGGGTATGTAAAGGGTGCTGTAGGAACAGATGGCAAAAATTTAAATGTGGTCTTGATTGAGACAGGGCAGAGTGAGGCAGGCATAGGTGATGGGAAAGACTTCATAAGGAAGTAACTTTCTAAGCTAACTTGCTCTTTGGGCAATTCAGCAGACTAAGAACTCTTGATCCAATCTGCTTCCTGCATGTTTCCTCTTTTGAAAAACGGGACCAATCATAGTAACAGTGTAGGGAAAAACATCCTATTTAGTTTACTGTTTCCCCAGTGCCTACCTACTACTATGCTTACCACACAGTAGGCATTCAAATACCTGCTAAACTACATTGCTCAATAAATGTCATCCTAAAGGGAACGATGGGTATGCTAAAAAGAAGCATAATCCACAAAGCAGCATCATAAGGTATTTATTTTTATACTCAACACACATCTGGACCAAAGGGAAATATTTACTCTAGACCTGAGTTCATTCTTCCCATTCATTATCATATATTATGGAAGGAAATGCCAAATAGGAGATTATCTTTCCCCTCATTATCAGACAAGACAAGTTGCTATTTATTTTAAGGATACCTCAACATGCCCCGTCCTTAGCATATTTTTGACTGGCCAGAAGACCAAATTTGTGATCCCTGGAAATTTAACTCAGTAACTCCCAGCTAATACTTGGTAATGTTGGCAAATGTCAAATGCACTGAAATCCACCCAATGCACATACCCACAGTATGCAGCATTATTAAAAGTTCAACAAAACTAAGCCAAAACCCACTTATACTGAGGTAGGCAGCGAAGAATATCAAATGGAATGAATTGCTATCAGGTGGTTAAAGCTTTTCCAATTGGGCTATTATTCTTAGCACCCCTAAACAAATTTCAAGCCTGGAAATGTGATCAAGTTACCAAATGATCACCACTCAAGTTGTCAGAACAAAGCAATAGAAATTCACACAGATCATACATTCCTAAAAGTTATCAAAACTCCCAGAAAGGAGCTTTAGGGCTATTTATACTACAATACAGACCACCACCAAGCCTCTATTTTCCTATCCAGATTTCTCTAACTATTTAGAAATTACAAGGTTTCTGCTGATGACACTAACAAACCCATCAATTTGCTGGCCTCACTATGTAGTAAAATGCAAGCAACCAAAATGAGGGAAGGATGACAGAGGATTTTTTTTTTAAAGTCCTGTCCTGTGGAGAAGTTCTAAATTCACTCATTCACCCATAAATATTCATCAAGTACTTATTGTATAATACTTTTCTAGACACTACAGATACAGCAGTAAACAAAAACCAAGTTTCAAAAAAACGCAGGAACACCCAAGTTCCTAGCCTCAGGGAGATTTTATCCTAGTATGTGGGGAGGGACAGGAGTGATGACAAACAAATACGTATATTAGGTACTGATAAATAAGAAATGAAAATAAATAAGGCAGACTATGGGGGGTAGGAAGTGATGATAGAGGAAAACAGAAAGTTTCTTTTGCTATTTTAGAGTGGTCAGGGAAAGCTGCTTGATAAAGGTGGTATTTAAGCAGAATCTAAAAAAATGAGGGACCAGCCATGCAGCTATTTTGATGGAAAAGCTTTCCAGGCAGAGAGAAATTGCAAAGGCTCTGAGATAGAAAAATGATAGATGTGTTTTTAAAATGTGGGTGGGTCATCGAAAAAACCTAGAACAAATGCTGGCCAGGATGCAGAGAAAGGGGAACCTTCCTACACTGCTGGTAGGAATGTAAATTAGTTCAAACATTGTGAAAAGCAATATAGAGGTTTCTCAAAAAACTAAAAATAGAAATACCATTTGACCCAGGAATTCCACTCGTAGGAGTTTACCCAAAGAAAACAACTTCTCAGATTCAAAGACATATGCATCCCTACGTTTTTTGCAGCACTATTTACAATAGCCAAGATATGGAAGCAACCTAAGTGTCCATCAGTACATGAATGGATAAAGAAGATGTGGTACATATACACAATGGAATACTATTCAGCCATAAAAAGAAAACAAATCCTACCATTTGCAACAACATGGATGGAGCTAGAGGGTATTATGCTCAGTGAAATAAGTTAGGCAGAGAAAGACAAATACCAAATCATTTCCCTCACTTGTGGAGTATAACAATGAAGCAAAACTGAAAGAACAAAACAGCAGCAAACTCAAGAAGGAACTAGCAGTTACCAAAGGGGAGCGGTGTGGGAGGGTGAGTGCGGGGGGAGGGAGAAGGGGATTGAGGGGTATTATGATCACTACACATGGTGTCGGGGGGATAATGGGGAAGACGGTGTAGCACAGAGAAGACAAGTAGTGACTCTGTGGCATCTTGCTGCACTGATGGACAGTGACTGCAATGAAGTATTAAGGGGGACTCGATAATATGGGTGAGTGTAGTAACCACATTGTTTTTCATGCGAAACCTTTATAAGTATGTATAAATGATAACTTAATAAAAAATAAATAAACAATCTGAAACATTTCACCTATCTTATCTCAGTAAATGTCCCTGAAAGAAAACCCAAACTGTTTTTTACCACCAATATTATAATTTTTATTCTAATTAAACATTACAGTGCCTATCATTATGAACCATCTTTTCCAGGCCTCTTTGGATTCCTAAAATCTTGGCTTCAATAAAACTTTGTTTTGCTTGCTAGAAATAAATAAATAAAAAAAAATAAAAATGTTGGTGCGGGTAGACAGCACAGGGAATTAGGTGGGGGATCAGAAAGATAGGCAGTAGCTAGAGCATGTATGGTCTGTAATCTTCAACATATGTGGCAAATCTGGCCTTTATCTTTCTAGAGACTTATGATTTTTACGGTTTTACAATTTTTACAATTTTAAATAGTTGTTTAAAAAAAACCAGAGACCAAGTGCTCATCAGTGGCAGCACAGATTCATTCATTCTACTGCTTAAAACCTGAAAATGTCAGACCACACACAATGTCCTACTGATTTCAGGTAAAAGATGTCCAGCAAAACAGTGAGCACCAATAAACCATAGCCCAGGCAAGAAGAACTGTGCAGCAGTTAAGATAAGAAGCCTCTACTGACAAAATAGAAGTTTCAACAGCATCAGGGGACTTCATGCCCCACTGCAAGGAACAGGCAGAAGTGACCCTTTGCAGATAAGGATACCAATTTCATATTTTTTAAAATGCACCATCTTATACTGTTCATAGTGAAACAGTTCCTCATCTCATTTCTTCTCAACAAATTATAAGCAGTTCCTTAAAGAGACATGCCTTCAGATTATTTGGTAACTACTGTTAATAACTAAAATGCTCTTAATTTGGAATAATGAACTCAAGTGTTGATGATCCAAGTTGTCTAAAATCCTTTCTCTAAAAATCCTTTACTCATTTATTACAGAATAACAATCTTGTTTTCCATTTGATAACTACATTGTCATATGGTCCATACTGTTTAAGGAAAGTTGATCTAGGCCTTTTTAAAAACACAATTATATACTCTTAAACATATGAATGATTCATATAATTTTTTTTTGAGAGGGCATCTCTCATATTTATTGATCAAATGGTTGTTAACAACAATAAAATTCTGTATAGGGGACTCAATGCACAATCATTAATCAACCCCAAGCCTAATTCTCAACAGTCTCCAATCTTCTGAAGCATAACGAACAAGTTCTTACATGGTGGACAAGTTCTTACATAGTGAATAAGTTCTTACATGGTGAACAGTGCAAGGGCAGTCATATCACAGAAACTTTCAGTTTTGATCACACATCATGAACTATAAACAATTAAGTCAGATATGATTATTTGTTTGATTTTTATACTTGATTTATATGTGAATCCCACATTTCTCCCTTATTATTATTATTATTTTAAATAAAATGCTGAAGTGGTAGGTAGATGCAAGATAAAGGTAGAAAACATAATTTAGTGCTGTAAGAGGGCAAATGTAGATGATCAGGTGTGTGCCTACAGACTAAGTATTAATCCAAGCTAGACAAGGGCAACAAAACATCCACGGATGCAGAAGATTTCTCTCAAAACAGGGGGTGTGAGGTTCTAAGCCTCACCTCTGTTGATCCCCAATTTCTCACCTGATGGCCCCCCTGCGACTGTGCCTGTCTTAGGTTGTTCCTCCCTTGAGGTGATTCATATAATTTTAAGACCTAAATTGCCAAAACACCTGTCTAAATTAAAATTTCAAGAATAATTTAAATCATAAAACCTTTAGATTATGTTCTTACTAGGGTTTGTGCCAAACTGTGCAGTATACAAAGGAGATGGGTGTTTTTGTATATGTGTGTCTTTTGTATATGTGCATATACACATATGAAAGCTTATTCTCTTATTAAAATTTCTCTCTCCATATCACCAGTTCCTCAACTCCAGAAATTATATCTTTTATCTTGAGCTGTGTATAGGTAGAATAAAAAATTCTCTATATAGTTATTGTACAAAT